TTTTGTTTAGTTTTTGCATCGTGTAGGATAAAAATAAAAAGATATTACTTCTAATTTATGATTAATATTTATTTTATATTAAATAATGTGTAACAATTCCGTATTCAATATTACATTCATACGTCGTTGATATTATCATCATCAATTTTATATTTTCTTCTCAATCCAATCAACGAAATGGGATACTTTAGCGAATACGGATGGCATGCCTGGACTACCACAAGGTACCATACCCCAAGATACAACTCCATCAATCTCCCATTTTCCTTCCTTAAAGGAAGCTAGTGGACCACCGGAATCACCCTAAAAGTATGTTATAAATGATACATTAGATTGCTGCTATAATTCATTGAATTTGCTGAATATTTGGCACATACGCTGCATGCGGAGTTTGGTTTGCTCGATACTGGTCCAGTGCAGATATTAGTTTCATCAACAGGAGAAGGAGATCCCATCGCTTTAGTCATCGTTGCGTCGCAAGTTTTGCGGTCGATGATATGCATCATAACATGTTGAAGTGTAGATGGCATTATTGGATACCTAAAAGTCGAGGTAGAGCCCCATCCACAAAGCCATACGTCTCCAGTTGGTTCACTATTTGGTTTCGGCAACGCAATAGGTTGTACGTATTCGTTGAACTGCAATGGAGTATCCAACTTCATCAGAGCAATGTCATTCCCACCAACATCACTGAAAGTTAAATAACACGGATCACATGTATATATAAAATTATATTCTAATTAATTCAGTTAAAAAAAATATGCGTTTAAGCTAACGTGTTAATACTAAAACAAATTGTAATACACTAAAAGAAAAGATTAACTGCTGCAGCAAATTAGATGATAAAATATGGCACAGCATTTTTAATTGGGGGGCTGCCAATTTTTGCAGCAATCAATTTTTGGTAGCAGCATTAATTTTTGGTTGCGTTAATCTATAATGTCAGTATAAGATTTTGATAGGCTAACGCAATCAAAAATTGATTACTGCAACCAATTAAAAATGCTATGCCATATTCAGCCAATCTTTTCTTTCAATGTATTAGTGAAGGAATAGTAATAACCTGCAGAATTAATAGAATATATGTGTATATCATAATAAATCTCAAAATATAATTTGTGCGTCGTTATTTATTTAAAACAGTTTTCTGATATCATATTTCTAATAATAATCAGATATAGTTTCCTAATATCTTATACATCAATGCTAGTCACTAGTAAATATTAATATCAATTTTATGACATTACATTAGTAGTTTCGATTATTGTACAAATAATTTATTTTACAAATAAAACTGCTGATTATTATTGATGCAAGAGCTATTATGTTCTATATTATTTTTATATATAATTATAAATTAATTATAAATACAATATTAATTACATATTAAACAATATTATTCAAAGACAAATTAATTTAATTGTTTGTATTCACTGTTTTCAACGTTTTACTTACCCTTTATATTTTTCATGTATGTACACTTTCGACACTTTTGCTGTCTGTTCGGTATTCTCCTTAACTTTAAGATTGAATTTTCCAACCTTGACAGTAATACTGCTTGCGGAAATTCCAGCAGCACAATGTGCTGCTGTTAAAATCCATTGTTCATTCAGGATAGATGCGCCACAAAAATGCTGGAGAGAAAGGAAGCTATTTTGTTGAAGGGAAGCAATATATTTGTACACTCCTCTCGGCGCTTCAGTACCTCCAACCACACGAGTCTGAAACGAAGGTAACTGCGGCTTGACAGATGGCATCTGTCTGTCAATTTGGGGCCGCACTACAATTTAAATTAATAATGTTTAAGAAAACACTCTTACGGAAGAAGTTGATCATAGCATATCAAAGCTAGCTCTTTATAAAATAATATTTTATAAGAGAATTTGTAATTAGAAACTAAACTTTGCTTTGTAATTCGTATCCAGTTAGAAGTAACGACATCAATTCGATGTCGATTTCCTAATTGTCATTTCTCACTGGGTATAACAATACAATAATTTAGTTATTATTTATTTAAAACTTTTTTATTAACAAGA